TTATCCAAACAGTCAACCACCCAGAGGAGCGTCAATTCGTGTCAGATTTATTTAGTTGGCTCAAACTTGGATTTTATCTTGATTTTTTCTTCACCGCTGTGTAATGTGGCACACCACAAGACAGCAGTGAAAGCTTTGGTTCTAAATTCAAGCATATCAGTTGGGTGAGTGTATTTATCCACCAATTTTTAAAGATGGTGTGCTTATTATATATGGTAATCTTCTTGATTAAGGTTTTTTTTTTTTTAAAGCGCTTAAGCTCTTTAAACCCAGAAAATAGAAGTTTCAACATCAAAGCCTATGACACCTCAGAACGACCACTTCAATGGCTGTTTTTACTTCTTTAGAAAGGCAGATTACAAGAAAAACTTAAATTAGACTGATCTTTATTTAAAAGTTTTTTTTTTTAAAGTGATTTCTTAGTAAAAAAAGAGTCCCTTTGAGACCAATCAGATGAAGATTCAAAATGAAAATTCATCCTATCATGGTCAAGTCAAATGGTCTGCCAATTCAGTCTAAATGAAAAGGCTAATGTCCAAACCTGTCCCACTGTTCTCCGTGTCCGGCCCCTAAAGCCTGCGCAGAGGGTTTCGCGCCAGGTGCCGCAGCCTTTCTTTCTGAGAGGACATGTCGGGAAAGACTTGGCCTGTGCTGCGGCCATTGTTAAGCGCCCTCCTCAAAACAGAAACGGGACAGCGGTGAGAGAGGGAGAAGGCAAGAGTAGAAAGTAGCCTGAAAGTCTGCAGCGAAGCGATAGGAGGTAAATAACAAAAGGAAGGAGCACGGATGGTGGATGGATGGACGGATGACAGACGGGGACAAGAGGGGGGAAAAGAAAAGTGGAAGCCAACAATGCTGCTGTGGGGCGATAGTGCCAGAGAGGTGGACCGACTGGACTTGTTGCCGTCCACTAACTAGAGTCTGAAAAGCAAGGGGAAAATCCTGAAAGTGAGGAGAAAATGGAGTGTGGACACAAAGAACAAGAATCACATAAGCTCATAAAAAAATAAATAACTGCGTCCCATCTACTGGTTGCAGTCTTTCCTACTGAGGGGATGAGGACCTGTTACCAACATACTTTTTGAAACCGAAAAATAACAACCTGAATTTTGCATCCGAGCTCTGCCAGGTCATTTGGAGTAATGGGCTTAAGAGATAGAGAAGAATTATGCTCAATTAGTCAAAAAGAGATGATTATGTGCAGCTCAGGGGTAACCTGAGCTCAGAGGGAAAAGCACACAGTTTCGAGAACGAGTCTGTGGAGAAAAACAGCGGATCCGTTTCGTCACAGAGTGGACGGGAGAACAACAGAGGCGCAAACCGAGCTATAAAACCCGAGCGATCGCTTGCGTGGGGGGTCTGAAGACAGAGGAGAGATGACAGACAGAAGCACTTCAGGGGGTGTGTGGATTGTGCACACGTTCACAAAGCTGCTTGTCAGAGATAGCACCACAAAAGAAGGCCCTGCAGATTCAAATTAATATAATTATCAAGTCAGTTAGTAATACAAAAGCCTCTATAGCGCGGGGCGGATTAGCCCACAGGTCACCGCCGCTCAGTTCTGTGGAAGGTACACACACACACACACAGGCGCGCGCACAAAGACGCACAAGTCAATCAAGAATGCTAGAAAGCCCCTGTAGATCAAAAATAAAAAAATAATCTTATTCTAAAAATTCACCACCACAGCCCGAACGGCAGAATTAGTTGTCATACAGTCCGCACACCAATATAAAAAAAAAAATTAAAAAACCCCAGAGAGCTTGATAAGGAGGCGACAGGGCAATCTGTCATGGCTGGCTGGCTGGTCACATGAGGTTAATAGATTTGCTACTATCTCCCATCTCCTCAGCCTTCATCACCAGCATCGCTAGCCCTCTAACCATAGCGGCACACCACACTTCATCCCAAAGCAAACATTACACGCAAGCGGCACTGTTGACCTGCAGAGCAGATTTCTGATTTTTCTTTGCAACATTAATAAACGTGCAAATTTTCGACCACTATGGAAAACACACACACACACACCAAACACACACATTATTGTGGGAGTCCCTCTTCGCTGAAGCGGCTGTATATTGTGAATCAAAATTTGCTAGAAGGGGATGAAGGAGGATCAAATATTGGTTCTTTCTCGTTCCTGACCGATAAGTCATGCCTTAAAACTGTAGTGTTCCGCAATTTTCTGTGAGTTCTACACTCGTATACTGAGAGCAACAGAAAGCTGGGCCTCCTCGGATGGATTCTGCCTTAATTTCAGAACCGGATCAGTAGGAACTGCAGATGTCAGCCCGGGCCAAATGGCCCCTCTTCTCGTTGTAAGGAGCACACACACACACACATGTTGGTGTTTGCTCACGTCGCAGTGAGAGCAGATACTCTGGCTGAGAAGGGGTCACCCACATCATTCTCCGTGGGACCTCTGACCCTGCTGCCATTCATGTGTAAATGCTCTCTTGTTCATAGCTGCTTTGTCTTTAAAAAAATATACAAAAAATCTATCAACATAACTGTCAATGTAAATAAGGCGTCAGTAAAGGGTTTTCCCTTTCTACAAGAGAAGCAGTTGTACAGGACATGACTGCCCCACTCTGGACTACCAGTGCAACAACAGGCCCCTATCTTTCACTTGTCGTGGGGACTTGTTCTAACTTTAAGAGGAAGGAAAGTTTGACTGGAATCGTAGCTTCACCCGCAGCGTTCTACGTATGAGAATCTGGTTTTCTCTCCATTAGAAAGTGGAAGCCAAACGGACTGTCAGTCATGGGATGCCTTCTGATGAGTCAATGGAATCTGTATCAGTTGACTTCCCCGTGGAAAATTACAGAGAAAACAGAAGCTGGCAACCACCGGATTCCAGATGTCAATTGAATTCTAACCACTTCTTTAAGATAAAAAAAAATATCTTATCCAATTTTTAAAAAAAATAATCCCTATATCAAAATAATTCAGACATGTATCCAACAGGAAAAACCAAAGCACATATGAACAGAAGTCATAAACCTAATTACCCTGAGGATCCTGAAGATAAGACTGGGAGCAAGGTCCTGTTGAGAGAGGATCAACAGCCCTCATGCTTACGTCATAAGGCAACGCTCTTCACAGCACCGGGGAACTGCAACCGTTTCATTTTCCACCACACCCTTGAGTTCCTGACACCATTCTGCTTAAACCAGCCCTCACAACAGAGAGCCATTGAGACCCTCCGGTCAGCAGATTCCCCCTGAAACGACGCCTTTCCAGTTAAGTCGCGTTTGAGCTTTTCCTTCGTTTGGAGGACACCGGCTAATCGCATCATTTAACATCGGCTGAGTTCTGAGCGGTAGAACATGTGCTATCGTTTGGACAGACCTACTGCGAACAGAATCCCGGCTCCTGCCATGAAAAGATCCAAGAGCGAAACACAGCAGCGTCCAGCAGCCTCAGCAGGTGGCTGAGTAGACATTTTATTCAATTGTAAAAGTAAATTTCATCTTTCGCTTTTAATTTGACGAATCGAAAAACTCTTTCAGGATCTCTCGGGTATGACCGAGCCTTAGAAACTGCATGGGTCTGGATGCGTTCCTTATGTGGGCCATCTGAACTATGCGTCCACAGTAGGTTAAGATCTCAAAAATTCAAATAACCCTAACCAAGTCACTTAAATATTTACCAAGAAGTACATCAACTCCAAACAAAGGGACGAAGGTCCTCTGATTTTTTTTTTACAGATGCTTCCACCTATTCTTCAAAAACAGTAACTAAATTGTCCCTCAGGGAATTATGGCCAGTGTTAAATACAGGAAAACTCTTAAATAAAACTTATGTAAGGCTTCCAGAGACGGGACAAAGGTTCAACTTCAAGCAGGACAGTGAGTATTTTTGTATCATTTCAGTAGCAAACAACAAATATTTGCATCTTCAAGGTTGGATAGAAAAGTTTTCATTATTTACGTGCGAGATTCCAGGGGAAAAAAATATTGGGCAGCTCTTCAGAACAAGAGAAAGTGTGATGAGAAACTTCTTATCACAGAGAAGGAGTGTGGAAGGCAGAAGCTGCAGCGGGGTAAGTGATAGCGATATCGATCCCCCGGTGCTCTTTTATAGCCCTGTCATGTCAGTTTAGCACCTTGGCAACACTCACTTTAGAGCTACATCAATACTGAACTCTGGCAACTGACAGCCAGAGAGGTTTGGTTAACAGAAGGAAGAGGGAGGACAACCGTTTCAAAGAAATTAATGACTTAGAACTCTAATCTTAATACCGAAGTGAAGAATGACATAAAAGAAAGCCAAGCCCTCCATTGTTAGAAACAAGGCAAGAATTAGATCCTTTAAAATGAAAAGCACAAAAACAAGAATGTCTGTATAAAAAATGCCTACTGGGCTCTTTTCAGTTTGCTTTATGTTATTGTTACTGATGTGTCTTTGTGGGACTGAGTCCGGGTATGCTTAGACCTGAAGTTTTGTAAAAAGCTGAACCTTATCTCTCAAAGAGGGTCTGCACCTTCAGCTGTTTTTCACTGGACGGTCACAGACAAGCGCAAACACACAACTAATGGAAAGAAGATCCAAACCGTGTCCGTTTTTTCTCAGCTGGCCAGTGCCCAAACTGAGCAACTGACTCAAGTCACCCTTCATTTTTGCATATGCGTTTACTGGGAGTTGTCCAGTTCCTTTCCTAACAGCAAAATTCAGCCGGAATAAATGGTCTTTTTCTAAGGCTCCAGTCTGTTTAATGAAGAAGAAAATGAACTCTGTATTATCTAAGTGTTAGAGGACTGGACCTCATCTGTTGGACTCAAAACATGTAAATATCTAGTACAACTAGTACTTTGTTGTGTTTATGAATAGTTTTATTCAACAGTGTGATTTGTGCCGATTTGTGTCCATTTGAAGTTTATCTAAATTGCTTGTTTTCTTGTGCGCGTCGGTCATTTCGCAGAATACACTGCAGAGTCGCGTAAAACCAAGCAAACTGTGAAAGTGTAATGAAAGAAAGGTGGACCGATTACAGACCGGTCGCAGGAGCAGGCCACCAGAACGCTGAGCAGGTTGTAGATGATGAAGGTGAAGATGACGGCGGTGATGGTGCCGCGGGGGATGGAGTAGCTGGGGTTCTTCAGGTCGCCTTATGGAAGAGGCAGTGGGGTTTTTTTTTTCTCCTCTGAGGCAGCTCTTAAAAAAGTGACGCCGCGTCCTTAGGCGACACGTGAGCCGTACCTACCCGACATGTTGGAGCCTGCCATGATGCCGGTGCAGCCGTTGAACATCACAGCGAAAACGGTGGCAAAGGTCATCATCGTTCTGGTTGTGTAATCTAGAGTGTAGTCAGCTGCACACAGAGAGGACAGGACATCAGTGGAGCTGTGTTGTGAGCATTCTATCAGCAGTCCAATTCAACAGGTTCATTGGCAGATGTTCACAGTCCAAATTCTAGCTCATTTTACATATTCTGAAAATAAGTTTTGTTCCAATCTTTTATTTTTAACAGGTCAGTCACATGAATTTGCCAAAATAAATAAATTACAGCCTTAGTGAGAAAATAAATTCTGATGGAATAAAAGTCCATTTTTTATAATGCAGAATATTTCCTGAGACAGGAAAGGAGAGGGTAGATGGGCCTGTTTTTGAAAGGCTCTGTTGTAAGTCAAATTACAAATACCATTCACACACATGCCCACACTCATGTCCCATATTCCATATTCTTATGAGATGCTGTTCATTTTGCCATGTGCAATAGAGAGCCTATGTGAGAGAAGGCCTCTACAACAGGTGCAAATAGGGTTTGGTAAATCCACAGGTAAACCCATCCGTCCATTCATCCCATCTATGCCACATTCCTCTCATCTCTCCCAAAGCAAAACTCTCCAGCTCCCCCTGGGAAAACCTGAGGAATTACCCGGCCAGAGAGGAAATATAGTCCCTCAGTAAGTTCTGGTTCTGTCCCAGGGCCTCTTCCCGGTTGGAGGTGCCTGAAAAACCTCCACAGGTAGGAGCCAGGATGCCTCCCAACCAGATGAGCCCCTCTGGCTCCCTCTGGATGGTGGAGCTCCTCCCTCTCTCTCTCTCTAACCCTCTGGAGGAAACTCATTTCAGCCTGTTTTTTGGGCCCTCATTACTGCCGACTGAGCCCAAATCCGTCTGTCCACCTCTGACGCCGACTCGCCAACATCACAAACCTGTGATGAACTCATTCAAAGCAGTTTGATTGCAGTCAGTCAATTATGGAAGTTTACCATGTCAATAAACCTGGTCAATGGACTGGAACGTTGGCCTTTGCTCTGGGAATCCGGGGTTTAACTAAACACATCTGAACTTTTTTCCTTACAAAGTTAATTAAAACAATAGGGTCAAACTTTTCATTTCGAGCACACCTACTGCTGGAGCACGTAAAAGCAAATCAGGATTACTCAAAGCTTTTGTGTGCGAGCAAGAATGGGTCGGTAATAGTTTTCACGTGAGCATGCCAGCAGTTGCTCGGGAGTCATGTGCCCGATTACAAATCCCCAGCAAGCAGAGAGTGCACCGCTCAGTCAGATTTCATGGGCATTAAGATCCAGAAAACCTGCACAAGATCTCATTTGGGATCAGCAAAACTCCTGCCGTCTGCCAGCAGAAAAAGATGGAGACGATGTGCTCTTTAGCCCGGCTAACGGATGGGAGGCCAGAAGGGCTCACACCCTCTCCATTTCTCTGTGATTCCACTGACAAATATGAAGGAGCTGAAATCAGTTTGATTTCATTTGGGGGGAAAATGGAAACCATTTTGTTACTTGCCGTTTTCTGCTCTAGAAACTGTGACGTCCTTTAGGAAATGACAGAAAATGTGACTGATGTGATGGTGAAGCTAATCCATATTAATTCCACTGTGCACCACTTACTTACCGATTCATCCTCAAAATGAGTAATAACGTGTTCATGTTAATATTCTGCCGCGGTTTTAGAGTAGTAACTCTCATCCAGTGTCGTGGGTAATTCTGCTGAGCAGGCATTTTTCCCCAGAGGTCCACTGATTGATCACCTCTTCATTAGGGTGCCACCTTTTTACTAAGCAGCCTTTCTGTGAGGTGGTGTGTGTGTGGTCTGCTCACAGCTAAATTATTCCCACTCCTCCCACCGTCCAAAAACACGCACGATAGGTTAACGTTGGTTCTGAATTCATAACGAGACTCATTTAACTATATTCACAACAGGATCAAAGCTCACATGAGTTGGTATGAGGACTCCATCTTACCCCACAGGTTTCCGCGCAGCGTGTCCAGTTTGAAGCCGGTAAAGTTGGCCGTGGTGGGGAACCCTGGTCCCGACCCGTTGGTCCCCGGGCTGGGCAGGAGGATGGTCCGGGGCCGCACGGCGAAGAAGCTGACGAAGATGGTGCCCAGGACGAACATGACCACCAGGAAGATGAGGAAGGTGGCCTTGGCGTAGATGTGGGCGCCCACCAGGCACACCAGGAGGCACAGCAGGGCCACGCCGGTGGCGTAGAGCAGAGACCACCAGTAGCCCGAGGGCAGGACCTGGTACGGAGAGGTGGCCAGGGCCCCGTCTGAAAAGATGGACGGGCTCGATGAGTGGAACGCGGCGGGAAACGCTGCCCTGCCTCCTGCTGCATGTTCAGCTCTCGCATCTTCTCCGTGTCACAGCCGGCTTAAACCACCTAATGACGTCCAGCTCTGACTTTTATTCATTTGAACCTAAGCTGAGTCTTACACAACACAGCTTTTAAACCACAAACATTCCATTTGGTGATTTTTTAAAATCTTTATATTGACTGAAAGAAAGAAATATTAATAAATTAAGTCCATCCCTCTTCAAATCCATTAAATTGGTTTGTTAAGCTACACACTAAGATAGGAGCTGCTGGCTTGGATAAATATGACCCTTACCAATAATTATAAGGAAGAAGAAAAAACTGGACTCTGGCTTTTCCCTTTTTAGAAGGAAAAGCCAGAGTCAAGATGTGTGTTAAGCCCAGTAACAGCAGACTTCAATCTTCTCTTTTACAGATAACTGGCTTAGTTTTTATCAAAATGCAGTAAGTCAGGAGAAAAGCTGTGTGCTTTGTGTTTTGAATTCAGACAGTTGAAGGCGCGGTTACCTTCCGGCACTCCGAATGTGGCCACGATGGCTTCCACCAGCCCCAGCACGTAGAGCGCGCTGCCACACACGTTGGCCAGGAAGAACATGAGGCCGATGCTGCCTCCAAACTCTGGACCCAGGGCTCTGCTGATCATGTCTGGGAGGGAGGTTAAAGCAAAGTGCGCTGCGCATTGCATTGTGTGATTCCATCGATCAGGGTCGGAGGTCACTGAGGGAGAATGAGTGGACACTTTGGGCTCAGACCACTATCCCTGACCGTGTTAAGTGAGAAACTATTACTAGTAAACGGAATAACTCACCATGAGGACAAGCAACAGTTTACCCTGCTGTTCAAAAATTGGGGGCAGTAAAGATTAGCTTAAAGAGAAGAGTTTTTTTTTTTTTAAACTATCAATTAATTTGATCAAGGCTCATTTCCGATTTAAAGCAGTGTGTCAACAGGCCGTAGCCTGATATCTAGCCCTCATCAAACAAGCTGACTTCACTATTTGTAGAAGCGAAATCTTAATCAGTGCATACCTCACAATCTTATGCCTTAGACAGGTACTGAAAACCCATAAAAGTGTCATTCACAAAGAGTGTAAGGGAGTGTAAGGAATCCAGTCACATGACAATCCTGCCCTTAAGAAATAAGCATAAAATGTCTGCACAGAACAGGTTAGGAGCCGTGACGTTTCCCATTAATCACAAATGACTCGCGTTAATGATTTACATTTACTACACCCAGAAAGCCAATCAGGCAACTGAATGCTGTGGAAACGCTAGCCGTGTGTGTGTGTGATGTGTGTATTCTGCACCGTTTATGGGTTTCAATGTCTAATCGTACTGGTGATGATTCTTATTTAACTTCAACAGTGTCAGAGGACTGAATGATGAATGTGAGGCGTATAGCTTCTATTTAACATAACTAAAAGAACATCACTCCTTTAAGCTCAGCAGATCTCCTATAAAAGTGGACGTTGTGGCTCTATGTCATAGAGTCTATAAGAGTCTATAAGGTTGTGCTGACTAAGCACAGAAATTCCATCTAGACAAAACCAACAAACAAACAAGATTAATCTCTAACAGTCACTAGTAAATGGTAAACAGAACCAAATTCAGCTCTGTCCCCAAAACAATGAAACTGACTAACTGGCTCCACATAATCAATGTTACTGACACTACACAAACTGTCACATGCAGATCATCATATGATGACAACGTGTGTGTGTGTGTTTGTGTGTGAGAGGAGGATACAATAGGCTCCCCCAGCATCCAGGGCTCCATTGGTGGAGATGGCGCAGACTGACAGCACCGTCATACAGATAATGAAGTAGGCCACCAAGAACATGGCGATAGCCTGGTACAGCCCGGCCTGTCCCACCACAAACCCTGGAGAGACAAAACACAAACGGTTACACACACACACGGTCTCACCGTGTCCAGCGTTCGCACGACTCCTGCCAGACTTTTCTACCGAGGTACACGCCAAAATCTCTGTTAGATTAGGAGGGTAATTACTACCACATGCTTTAGCTAAATGGGACTCAAACTGGCTCTGTGCTCGTGCTCCAAACTCCTGTCCCTGTCTTTGACCCGGGAGGGACAAGGGGCACCCAGGCGGGGGACACGGAATGCGGGAAACTGCCCAGGTCCACGAGTTGATCCAGACTTTAAATAGTTTGTTTTGGACTGCGACATAATGGGTCAGCATCAAGTACAGTAGAACCTCTAGTTACAATTGCCTAAAAGTACGAATTTTCCAACATATATATTTGACTAGACACCCAAAGTAAATTTCCAACACCTCATGACGTTGAAGTCATAGAAAGATGTATGTAAAATATAAAAATCAAATAAAAATAAATAAGCCAAGTTAGTTTAAAGTCTGTATCGCTAAGCCTACACCTCTCTTTCCCAATAAAATTCCCATTGTTATTGATTATTTCTTTATAATTTATTTAATTGTACATGTCTCTTACATTATACATTTTTTTCACTGCCATGTGTGATTATCAGTGGTATTTATTAAGGAGTTACCGTAGGTTTTTGGAATGTGGAACGAATTATACGAATTACAGTGGATTCTTATGGGAATATTTGAACCAACATACAAATATTTTAACATACAAAGTAGCTCAGACGATGCCTTCAGGTTCCTTAAGCAGTGGTTCTGCCTGATGAGGCTGTGGTCCTAAAACCAGGATTTAGCAGCGCAACAGGGTGAAAACGCTTTAAGAGAGGCCTGGATGACAAACAATCAATGCCCCAGCCCCATTTTCTGAGAAAAGGAACAAAAACCTTTAGGGGAATTCAGCGGGTTCAACGTCCACTTACACGGTCCTGTTTTTACTGGAAGATCCTAAAGCGGGAAAGCCTGGACTGTCGCAAGTAAGTTACAGTTAAAGTCTGAACTACATCATCAGAACACGATGTTTTGTAGTCGGACTAACGCGTTTTAGTTGGACTGACAATTAAAATTTTTACTTACACGTGTTTACAGGACAATAAAAAACTGTGTTTGTAACAGACAATCTATGTTTCCGTCCAAAATATATATATACGTTTTTTTTTTTTATCCTTCAGGATTTCAAAGATATGGCAACTGTGCGTTTCAGATCAAATTCCTAACAACAACCTGGTTTACTATGGTGTTCCAGTTTGTAATGTGTAACGTTATCTGCAGGCTCAAATGCAGGAATTCATCATATCATACATTTGGATGTCTATACATAGATTTGCTCAGCATATTTAATTCAGGAGTCATTTATCATCACCGGCTCCAAAATGATGGATCCACTCGTAGAACAACAGAATCCAGATGAACATCGTGTATTCCAGCCACCGTCTCTGACAAAACCCTGAGTGTTTAAAGGCTGCATGCAGGGCTTTGGCTCTTGTTCTCTATGAGAGCTTTAAGAGATCCCTGTTAAAGCAGGAGATTGTATGTTCACAAGCTGAAACACACAGTCAGCACTGTGCAGAATTTCTACTAGCCTGGATCCACAACCTCCTGTTGTCCTTTTGGAATTGTATATCGATTCCACTCATCATTGGAAGTGATTTGGATATTTACATCCATTTAGTCTCTGCTCTGGGGCAAATAAGGCAGAGCTATCTATATCTATATCCCCCTCCACCATGGTACTAAGTTAGCATGGAAGCCAAAATATGCATGAAGTTAGAACCTGGAGCAGGAGTGTGAAGTGGAGGGATACTTTTCTGTAGCCTGTTCTAACCTAACTGACCAAAAACTGGACTCACAAAGAAGCTGTGTTATCAAAAAATGTAAAAAAATTGCTAAGATATAAGTTGTGTTCAGGTTGCTGATCTGCAAGCATTCCAAGACTAACACATCTGTCCTTTAACAACTAGAGTGAAGAATTAGTAACATGTCACGCAGTTACAAGCAACGGTGTGTGTTTGTGTGTGTGTGTGTGCGTGTGTGTGTGTGTGTGTGTGTGTGTGTGTGTGTATGAGACGCTTCACACCGCAGTGGACACGGATTTTTTACATTATTTGATCTGTCTGTCTGGGATCGGTAGCTGACCTCTCACTTCAAAAACAGCATCAGATAGATTCAAAGACGACCAGCACCATTTCTGAAACAGGAAAGTTTCACTCGTGTCTCGTACAACTCCATGAACACACTTCTTTTTTGCTGTATACATTTAGAACATGACAATCGGCCAAAAAGAGGATGTGCATCCACAACCGCTGTCAAGCTGCTGAGTGTACGGGTGCTTTCACATCCCCTTCCAGACCCCCCGCCTCTTCCTGAGCACCCTAAAAACGTCAGCGTGGGAGCAGCCGTGTAGCTCTACCACTACATGCGCTCACGTGAGTTTGGGCGTGCGTGTGTGTGTTGGCTCAGTGTGTGTCCACTGCCCAACAGCTGACATCTCACAAGACTGAGAGGGGGGGTGAGAGGGTGGGAGGGCAGGAGACAGAGGGACAAACATCTGCAAGCAGCAGAAGAAGAAAAATATGTTTTAAAAACATGGAGCACTGTAGAACTGAACCAGGAAGCAAAGAGGCAGGAAAGGACTGATATAAAAAACTTTTTTGCAGAACACATCATGAGCTGATACCATCACTGACTTATTTCAATGCCTTCAATTACTTAAAAACAGAACTTTTCCCCTTTTCATTACAATGAAAGAAGGGGTTCTTTCTCTGTTATAGTCCCACCTCAATAATACATAGTTGGAGGCTGGGACCTGTAGTCACCAGTGTGTTACATTTATTTTACCACTCACTGTTTGTGTTGCTAAAAGACTGTAAGCTAAATTTAGCATCATAAAGGGAGCATCCCTCCATGCCATTATGGAACCCATTCCACATTTGTGGTCATTTGTGTTCAGTCCGAGGCGTCCTCAGGTGGCTGCCACGGGTTCCTACCTGCAGTCAAAACAGTTCGTTTTCCACTGAGCCCAACGGCTGCTTTCGTTTTTAGAGGCGAAAGTACCGCTCCGTTTTTTTCCAAAGTAAAAAAAAAAGCCGCGTGCACTCTGCTCCGCCAGGAAGACTGAGGTCTTCACACCTGCACCATCCCGGGCACTGATTAGTAGTGACGTCAGACCCCGACGAGGCACTCACCTATCCGGAGGAACACCACCACGCTGAACATCGACAGCAAAGTGGGGACCACCACCCCGAAGAAGACGGAGAGTTTCTTGGGCTGGGCCGGGCCGCCCGAGCCGCCCGGCTCCAGCTCCGGGGCCCGGCGGGCCGGAGGCGCCGGCTGCTCGGACTCATTAACGCTGGAGAAGAGGCGGTAGTGGAGGAGAGGGGTCCTCTCTGTCATGGTGACCCCCTGCTGTTCGTCGGAACTCACCAGAACAGATAGGGGATGAAGCCGGTACAGCCTCACTGTGGAAAACCGGCTGGAAATAAATTTTACTCGGAACTTTTCAAACTGTTTTTCAAAAGTTTCAAAACCGACGTGTCTGGATTTTCGGTTTCTTCTGTCACTGCTCCGCTAGCGACGCGACAAAGAGATAAAAACCGGTTTCCGTTACGGATAAAAGCAGCTAAAAGCCGTCCACGGAGCGGTTACCCGGCACGCCGCCGGCGGGGACCCTGTGAGCGCCTCGACATCGGCCACTCAACCGGCTCTCGCCCCACTTGTGGCTCCTGTGGGTCGCTCCCGACCAACTCCGGGCATCAGGAATCACGTGACATACAAACGTCCCGGTCTCGATCACGAGGACAACTTCCGGTCTCCAATTTCAACATAAAAGTCACATCGATTGTACGCTTCTTTCAAAACCTTTTTATTTAGCAAAAACAGCAAACCAGACTGAAGCATCAGTTATTTGTAGGAAATCAAGTACGCACACATCTTAAACATTCTCACGCCGTGCCTTTGCTCACCAGCTATTTATATATATAACTACACATGCTCAAGAAATATTCATCATAAAGATTTAGATCATCAATGCACAAAAAGGAAACAGCATTGAGAAGTGGAAATGTAATAAAGTTAAATGTAGTGCTGTCACAGGCTGCCCACACCCACCTCCTCAACTCACATTTAGAAATGGCTTAGATCAATAATGTAATGTAGCCATTGAAAATGTACTGAACGCTATGAATCTGAGTCCCATTCAGGGACTAAAGCAAAAGTCCAGAGGACATGAAGAGAAACGCATAGAGATACAACCCTGTCATCAAGATTATGCAAGATTTGAGCCAGGACCCTTCCAGCTTTAAGGTGACAGTGGTTCCAAGCAAAATTGTGATCAAATTAATGCCCAGGCTGACTGAATCAGTCTGGAAATACATAACACATAACAAAGGCCGATTGTCAGTCTGGAAGTCATTTTAAGACGGTACAAGTTAAGATTATCTATCACACACATACACATATATCTTACATGACTATGCGTATATTGCATATAGAGCATATTTAGAAAATACATACACAGTGTCGTCTGAATATTTCAAAGTAATTCAGAGAAATGCTCTCTCAGTGCAAATATATCATATGAGCACTTACACGATAGCTTCCCTGATTTGCAGTTGCATGCAACAGTTCACATTTGACTTTCATAATAGTGAAGAGGGGAGGAAAATAGTCCAATACATTTTAAACTGTATCGCCAAACATTTTAAACAGCTGATTTGGAGGAATGTTTCCTCTTTAACTTCTGATTTTCAACGATGACAACATTCATCCTAAAAGTTTTTGATGCAGGTCAGGACACAAAAATCTACAGGATTAACAGTGCACGCGTGCCATAGCTCACGGTGAAGAGCAGATCAAATAAAATGAACATTAGCTAAACACAGCACAGGGAGCTCCTCATCCAGTGCCTACAGAGGGTGCTACAGTCATAGTTTGCATTGCATAGCCCATTACAAGAAGTAAAAATACGCAGTGAACTGCACCCACCAATTTTAGCACACGTTGGTCATCCCACTTTAAAATTTAAGTCATGCTAGTGGGATTTTGCAAAAGCAGCATTTCAGTCAGAAGGAAATCTCTCAGACAAGTCCCAGAAACATCTGTGAGTTTTCCCAGTTAAGTTTCCCATGTCAATACAAATAGCTTTTTTTTAGGTAACATACAGGTAAGATTCTAGTTATGATAAGCAACATGTCTCTTCAAGTCCATCAGCCTGTTGGCCAAGGCCCAGTTTATTACAGGTTTGACTATTATTTTGTATATAACTATGGTGAATACTTGCAAAACCTACCACAGAGACAAAGCTTTACTTCAATTACCACTGGTGTGTTGTCACCTCAAAGACTTCAACACTCCAATGAGTGCCATACAAACACAGACCCACAACTGTACATTTAACACTATTTTAACTTAGCACATGTGAGCATTCTATTACCAAACCAAAGAAACTCAAACAATTAAACACTTGCAATGAAACATTTCATTTCTTCTTACATGTCATTTTCAGTGCACCTGCCAACAGGCGTTATTAACATTTTATTTTAAAGTTTTCAGATGAATTCATATTCATTTGTACATAGCTTATGCGCTCTAAGAGACCTGAAGAGACTGAATTGTGGGAATGATGAGATTTAAATCATAACGTCCTCACTCACAGGCTCTGATGGACTTGCAACCTGTCCAGGGTGTACCCTTCCTCTTGCCCAATGTCAGCTGGGATAGGCCGCTGGGCCCCGTCACCCTCCCAGGATAAGCGGTATAGATAGTGGACGGATGAACCTCATAACAGGCAACTGGCACAAATGTCATTCAGTTTAAGTGTGGGTCCACGGATCAGTTTCTTGATCAGGTCAGTTCCCTGGATGTTGCCCCTGGCTCCAAAAAAACAAATAAAAAAAAGCAGCTCGCCACACCCAAAATGTCAAAAGTAATGCTTCCATAAAGCAACACAAAATATTCATGATTCAGTTCGCGCAGTTAGCCCAATGTTCTTCCAACAGGCAGGTCCAACTGCATCCCTTTCTTCTTCTTGAGTCTTTGTCAACATGACAGACCCCGTCGGTGCGCACTGTCACTTAAAACAACACTGTAGTAACACTCAGTCCAGCTAAGGTCTCTTTCAGGTCTTTTGGTCAGTGTTGATTGTCCTTTACTTTGCTTTGCAGACCGTGTGTTTGAGGTCCATTGCAAGGCGGTTCAGCTTTCCGTTAAGTAGCCGTTTGTATGCGGTCACCACTTCACTGGGGCTGGTTTTGTTGGGACACATTTCGGCCGGTTGATGAGGATATGTCAAGTCATCATTCTGAAAGAAAATAGAGCCAGTCAGTCAAACAAGTGCTTGAAAGCCCGGTTTGAAAAATAAGTATTTCAGAATGCAGTCAGATATTTGTGGATTGAGGTTGATGTTAACACTCTTATGATGCTACCAACAGAACTTGAACATACTGGACGATGGTAGTCAATATCAAAGGGTATTTTGATTTATCGTGGATGGGAAAACAAGTTGAAATGTCCTCATTCATTAATTAGATTTATGTGCCTCTAACTTGAGCTGAAACTGATGACACCTAATGTGTTTGCTGTTGGTGAGGCATCTTAATCGTTATATTCTTACTCATAGTAGGTATGGTATTATTCTACTATTGTCTTGTTCTAATTATTCTTTTAGAGATTCCTTTGTTTGCTTTAATGATCGTATTTTTGCATGTTTATGAAATATTGAGGCGTACCTGTACAAGAACGTTGCTGACAATGTTCACGTGATCTGTGATGCTGCGTTCAAGGCGCTCCAGGCACTTCAAGCTGGTCTGATTTCTAACATGCTGCACACCATGTTGAAAAAGTTGGAGGGCTTCCAATACCTCTGCATGTTTCTGCTGGAGCTTAAAATGAAAGCACACAAGCACAAATTATATAACTGTCACAACATTGCAATTGTACATTGTTCATAAGTTCATGTATTTAATAATGTAGCATTTGAAGAGAAGCAGGGAACTACCGACTGGTCTCCCTCCTCCCCTTCCTGGCTAAAATCATTGAACGAGTTGTCTCAAAGCAGGTCACAAAATTCCTCTCCTAGCATAACCTCCTTGATTCTAACCAATCCGGCTTCCAGAGTGGCCCACTCCACGGAAACGGCACTCCTGTCAGTAACAGATTTCTTGAAAGATGCCACAGCAACAGGCCAATCCTCAGCTTTCATCCTGCTGGACCTATCAGCAGCATTTGATACTGTAAACCATGGCATCCTATTAAACAAGCTGGCAGACCTGGGCATCGGGGGCATTGCACACTCTTGGTTTGAATCCTACCTAACTGGACGATCCCTCAAGGTGTCAAGGCAAGGCCAAACATTGACGCGACACCACCTCACCACAGGGGTTCCCCAAGGCTCAGTGCTTGGTCCCCTCTTCTTTATGATGTACACCCAGTCACATGGCTCCTCCTATCACTGCTATGCAGACAACAGTGGCACCCGCCAAGGCTTTAAGAAACCTGGACATCAGGATTGATGACCAGCTGACCTTCGCCGATCACATTGCCTCTGCTGCTCAATCTATCTGTTCAACATCAGGAAGATTAAGCCATATCCAACTCAACGTGCAACACAGCCCCTAGTACAGGCCTTAGTCATCTCCGGCCTCGACGGGATGCAATGCCATCGTAACAGGCCTTCGAGCCCGCGCTGTGAGACTGCTATAGAGGATCCAGAAAGCTGCCGCCCGTTTGGTTTTCAACCAGCCAAAGAGAGCACATATCACACCCCTGTTCACTAAACTCCACTGGCTACCCTTAGCTGCTTGCATCACATTTAAATCCCTGATGCTGGTCTACAGAGTGTTTGATGGATCTGCGCCCATCTACTGCACCTCAACACCCTCTTATATCCCTATGTCACCACTCGCCCATTTTTTCAGTGGGACATAGCACAGGCTAGATGAAGTCATTAGGATGTCTCTTACCTCCCTGTTAACGTTCTCATAGGCTTTGAATACAGAAAGTTGCACATCAACATCAGCAAAACCTTGTGGATCAACTTGGGCAAACTGATAAAAAAAGACCACTAAAAGTGTACTTCTAAAGAAGGGAGCTGGTCTACTTAACGCAGTCTTCACACATTTTACAGGTGTGGAAATCACACATCAGAGCATCTTCCCAACAATCGGTGACATTTATATCTGCACATGTGGGAACAGGGCTGCCACGATCACACAGCTTAGGCACTGTTTCTCCCCTTTTGTGTACTTTTTTTTTTACTTGGATCAAAATATATTGAATAGTTAATTAATTAGCTAATTAGGCTTGGATAGTCCTAATAGCACAAAGAACAGTTTTTACCCGATTATAAGGTCATAATGTTTCCGCACTAGCAGACCATACAGACAGACTGGGAGACCACTCAACTGAATTAAAAAAATGTTAATTAAATAGTGGGGCCAGCCAAAAGATCACAGAACTCCATCAGACCAACCGTCCTAACATGGTTAAATTTGTATAAATTTATGAACCACGCTCTATTTGCTGTAAAAAGGGCTTGCAGCTTTAGAAAAAAAGACGTATTGTCAAATTTTATCAAAAGGAAATGTAGCACTTATTCTAAGCTTAGTGTGCCCAGCAAACTGCCAGGGAACACACTCTGATCAGCTCTTTTCTTCTACCTTTGGCAGCCTTCTTGAGGAAACTTTGCCAGTTTACATTCCATTCCGGTAGTTGATGTTATGGGTGCTCTAACTGACTTTAGTCAGAACCTGAAAAGGCTTGAATTATTACAAATAAAATTCCATCCAACGGTGAAATAATAACAAACGGTTTTGGACATCCTAAATACATAAACAGAGAGTGTGTTGTATTTATTTGCACATTAAATGATCTATGGGAGCTTTGACATGATATTTTTCTCAGCCAGGCATTTTAAACAGAGCAATTAAATGGATGGGATGGAAGGCCAACATGAGAAACTTGTTGGGCTTTTGCTGGCTGGTCTTGAGCACTTAACCATAAAAGAAGTTACAGAAAATTACTTCGGCTCTTTTTTTTTTTCTTGTTTTTCTCTTTAGGATCACTCCATGGAAATGGACAGGCATGACAGTATCTGAAGGTTGCTGGTTTGGTTCCGATCAAAATCATTTTGTCTGGTTTCACATCCGGTGATACGGTTAAGTGAGTTCCACTTAAAGTGAAACCTCAGTCATTTCAACAACGCTGATATGAACTCTTCACACGCAACAACCGTTCGTAAGAATGCATTTCTCCTTGAATGCAATTTCGTAATACTTGAAGCCATTTAGGATTAGCTCATCCGTCTGTCTCTGTTATCAGCAAAAGTGAGTGTGAGCTTCCTTAAAACACCTCACAGTCTGATCTGTGGTGTGGTTAGACCAGAGGAGCAATACACTTGAAATGAAAGCAAGCCAGACCTTGTACAACTTCTCTGGAATTCTTGTCTGCTGCCAAAATGCACCATGCTTTTGCTTTTGAAGTGCTAGCTGACAAATGTTCACTTTGAGCCTACTTAAAATATATCACAGATGTAACCTACAAACAAAAGTTTTGATTTGTAGTCTCTATTGTGAAAAAGAAGAACCTACTTGTTTCAAATGTTGTCATTTGTTCTTCTGAATGAGGCTACAAGCACCATTTACAGAGACGTTCAACTGGACATGACAAATTATCCTTAACAGTGTTGTCATTCTCTTGTATCGTATCTCTGTAAGATACCGGTGAAACTTTTATCAACGGGAACATCATACAACACAGAAAAAGAATACAACTGTTGTTCAGTTTTGCATCTGTTTTGTAACTGACACACAAAGACTAACTGTGTTCAATATAGTGGATCTACTATAGCACTTACGGTCTTATTTCTCCACTCTGCTACGTTAATCCCCACACAAGGAAGCTGCACAGGAGAGGGCAGCACGTCTGAGCACCCACCGCCAGCCTGGAACACCAAATTTAAACTCTGTCACATGCCTGGATAAATCAAAACGAATCATTATAAAAGCAGTAAAGGGACAGAGCGCAGACACCGCGTCCGGGACGTCTTTCCTCACCTTCGAGTCGATCCTTTCTAACATCTTCTGCCTGACTTGAACGTTGCACCAAAAGTCAACGGCCCTGGTATGCGCCTCTGGCAGGTAGATCGAAATCACTCCTATCAGCAGCAGTAGGCATCCTGGATGAGCACACGCCACAAATGACAGACGAGTTGCCATCTAGGTCTTCACACACAGCAGCAGACAGTTTGAACCTGCCTCCATCTGAAGTTATTTTTTCAAAAACCCGCTTTTCCTTTTATTGATTATGATCCCCCAGCTGTCATTCAAGTTCACAGCGTGAGCTGCATTTCCTAAAATCCCCATCGTCACGTCTTGCCAAAATCCCACCCACAAGCTGTGTCCCAACAAGTCGCATGTCTATGTCAACACACGTAGGCAACTGTCTCACGTTTTGTTATTGTAGTTTGTGGAAATCTGAACTGAATGAATGAAGTTACAGAAACGGATCAGTGGTCTTAACCCTTTGCTGTCCTGAAATACCCCTCACAGAGCATATCACACTGGATCTTATCAAGGAGATTATATAAACCTTTACATTTTTCACCGTACAGAGCCGTACACACAGCAACAAAAATTTTATTTCTAGAAAAAGTAAGGAAAAAACAGCTTCCCACCCCCTCTGTTTCTTATGTCAGACATACAAGGATTGTTGAACTTTTGTGGCTTATGTGAGGCCATTTTATATTCACTCATCACAAAGAAGTATAGGAATCAAAG